AAATGGGAAATTGATGTTCTTTAATTTAAAAAAAAAAAAAAACATAGATGCAAGTCAGTAACTGCTTCTCTAACTAAGACAAGAAGCAAATGAAGGCAAAGCCACATACTCCAGCTGACTAGGAAAGGAGCTAAAGGCCATCACAACAAAAACAGACACAGATACCTATAACAAACAGCACAGCTGTTCAGGGGGAGCTGTGCATCTAGGTATGTGCTTGTAGGAAAAGAAAGAGGAAACATAACTCTCCTGTGGTGTGAACATAAATTTCTTCAAGACACCTTGTAATCCCAGGACTTGGGAGGCCAAGGAAGGAAGGCCGTTAAGTTTGAGGCTAACCTAAACTAGACAGAGTGAGATCTTGCTTCAAGACCGGATGATCTAGATGGTATTTTGCTCTATTAGCAGTGACCCAGCATTTCCTGAATGCCAGAGCCTACTATTTTATTCTTTTGATGCTCTGACCTGAGTGTTTCAATTCATTCTTTTCTACCCCCATGGTCCTTATTTGGGACCTTTACCTTCCCAGCATCGTAAACACATCAGACTAACCTTGGGAATCCTAATGTTTGGGACATATAAGACACGTGTCTCCAGCACGCAGAGAATATACACCCTTGTGGACAACACTCAACACATCATGCAGATGTTGTAGACTTTATTAATGGAGATAGTAAGAAACAACCTTGGAAGAAGAGCATCAGAAAAAGTCTTCCTGAAGCACCACAACCAAATGGCTTCCAATTTCAGGCACTATTTAAATCTTCACCTTAATCAATGATACAGTACCAGTGGTCAACTTCATCCTGAAAACAGAGTTCATGCACTCGGACAGGTGTAAGAACATTTCACACGATCTTGTACGTGAGAGCATTTGATGGTCATCATTTACTTAGATATGTAGTAACTAAATCCCAGGGATCAAGACTGAAAGTTGATCTTTTCAACGTGATTTTTGCTCTCTTCTTTCCATTTAATTTCCAAACCTAATCCAAAACAAAATAAAATTTAAAAGAAACATGGTTCTGCAGGTCAGGTGTATAAAAGCGTGTTCAGAGCCCTTCATCTCTTCTCCGCTCCCTTCCTTCCCACCTATCAACCAACTCATCCACTTTGGCCTCCACACCTGCGTTTCCTATTTTGCGAAAATGTATTTTCTTATTTGTATATCTTTCTTACATGAAAGTCATTTACACTTTACTTTTTTTTCACTTTGGGGAACTAGTCCACATTAGCTCATGGAGATGATAGTGTAAGACTCTTGTTTTGGAGATGAAATTTTGTACAGAAAGATGAAGAAAAGGTAAGTTATAGATCACTTAAATTCTAGACTATTTCAACTAATATTTCCCAGAAGAAAATATTTCTCAAAACACTGGTGCTACAAATAAGTGTGCTAAAATGTGCCAGGATGCCTCCTGTATTATGATGAATAACTCCTCATACACTATAATACAACATATTTTATTTATTTTTTTAATATTTTTTATTTATTATTTTTATTTTATGTGTATACGCGTATTGCCTGCATGTAGGTAAGTGCACCTGTGTCGTGCAATGCCCACGGAGGTCAGAAGAGACTGTCGGATCCCCTGGAACTGGAGTTAGGACAGTTGTTAGCTGCCATGTGGGTGCTGAGATTGAAACCCGGGTCTTCCTGCAAGAACAGTGTTCTTAACCACTGAGCCATCCCTCCAGCCCTACAACATCTTTTATAACAATATCTTTTATAACAATATCCCAAGTAGATCTTAGGGTACTCCAGCTTCCCTAGTATCTCTGAGCTAGGTTTTTACTATGTAGTAGCTTCTTAAATTGTTAGGCGGTATTTATTGAACACCCTGTGAATGGTTGAACTCTGGGCTAAGACATTCTGCAAAAGGAAGTAGAGGGTAATAAACAGTTACTATCACCCATGCACAGCCAGGCCGTGTGCTGCAAAATGGTGTTCAAAGCGCTGCAGAATTTCAGAGAAGGACAGTGTTACCCAAAAGAATGAGTAGACGCACCAGAAAATCTGTATTTGTTACAGATGTTACTGAACCAAAGATGCATTGCACAGTATTAGTGCTGTTGTTTTACTAATGAAGTGTCATAATCTGAGAGAAAGGTTAAAAGAACAAAGCATTTATCTGCGGAGATATAACATAACTGATAATTCCAAACTAATTTTATTTATTTATTTTTATTTTATGTGTATGAGTGTTTAAGGTATGAAAGTGCGCCCATATCCCTTAACTGGGGAAACCATGATGGAGGGGTGAGACAATGCTAGAGATAAATAATGCCTAGCTAGTTTTAAAAACCAGAGGGACCCATATTAGTCCAACAACCTACTGACAAATTATACATACAATGAGATAAAAGAATATAATATAGGTCTAGGCAAAGTTTATCACAACTGGTCTTTGCCCAAGATTTATCTACATGACACACAGTAATTAAAAGTACCAGACTGGTGGAACTAACCTTCTTGCATGTTTAACAGACATACTTTGAGGCCTATATTAATTGGTCAGAGGGACACAAAGGACAGTTTTTGCTCCTTGCCCTCCTATGTTGACTAGTTCCAGGGGACTATGAACATCTCTCAAAATGTCCTGTAATTGTGGTGAGTCACCTGTCCTCTTGATCAAGGAGGCCGAGGAGACCCCACCAGATGGACTTGAACCAGTGTCCAGTCTACAAAGAGGAGGGTCAACACAGAGGAATCATTTCCTCCATGCTTCCAAGTGAAGCCAACCATGATTGAGCAGGACCTTTGACTTATCTTCACATAGGCAGAACTGGTAAAAGAGAGGAGCCAGGGGCTCCTCCCAAGCCCATGTGACCTCTGAGGAACAACCTTAAGAGTAAAAATAAATCGGTTTCTCTGGGCCAAATGTATGGCCTTAAACACCCAAAAGGAAAGCATAACCAATATAATTTCTAAAGAGCCT